ACGCACACACACGCACACACACGCACACACACACAAATGTATAAAGTATAGAATTAAGTAAAATTTAGCAAGTTTCAAAATAAATGATATGTTAAACTATTATTGAAATATTAAGATTTATTTAATAATATTTAATCTTATGTTAACTAATAGTAGAGAAGACTTATAAAGTGTGTTGAAGCCATATATGTTTATATATTGGTATATGATTTTAACTCCTTAGAGGAGTTAGGCATTATAAAGATAACTTAGTTATATATTAAACTCAGAGATGTAATAATCAATTTATATACTAACAATAAAGATCTTATGAAAATGATGAGATTATATAGGCACATCAAGGAAAATAACTTAATCGGAGAAAGAGCATTTTCTTATTTTGAACAGGTGAATAAGCATTGCTTTTATTTGACCCTAATTGTTTTTGTTTCTATAATTAATTACAAATAGTTTATTAATAGGCTTTTATATACAATTAAAAATATTTCAATTGTATTTAGTATTTTTATCTAAAATATAATTTTCATCTTTTTTGTATGCATAAACTGTTTGAGGCAAACATTAAGCAAGGAAATATAGTAGTGTACAGTCAATAGGGATTGAGCTCATTTATCACAATTATATTAAAGCTCAACTTAAGCATAAGTTTACCATTTATTGTTGTGTTAAAATTTGACTCATTTATGATCGGGATGATAAATTAAAAAAATTTTATGAACATGCTTATGAGATTTAAATAATATATTCATGATCATAAATGAGTCGAGTAATAAGCTATTTAAATTTATTCATTTAATAATAGTGTATTTTTTTTAAAAAATGTCAAGTTTGTTTGACTAATTAGTTAATCAAATAATCATAAAAGAACGTAATTAGATAGAGTCATAAGTAGCTTATCAAACGATTTATTCATGTACAATCTTAATAATTATGATAAATATAATGAAACATGTTAAAAATACAATTGAATTTAAACTAATTGGTGTAACTCATCAAAATAACATGCATGATATCAGTATATAACCAATCAAAGAATAGCTTTCATATGATCTGATAAATGCAACAACCACAAACTAGTAACAACAATAGTCTCATCTACTAACAGTAAGAAACGACAACATCCACAAACACTAACTGCAACAACCAACAACTAAAAACACTAGAAAAAACGCATAAGAGATAGAGGGCCAAAGCCGATTCAACATCCAACCTCAGCAATCAACTTCAAGAAGAGCAACAAAAAACAAAAAAAAAAAAGGATCAAGAAAAATCAAAATATAATATTAAAATTTCATCTAAAATTTAGAATATAAAAATATATTATGAAAAATTAGTTGAATTTGTGTAGAGGCAATACATGATCAAATATTAAAACCAAATCACAACATAAAGCAAAGTTCATAGAATAGTATCTGATCAATATTAAAGCCTATAAGAACATAAAGATCAAAGCCAAGAAAAACATATCAAAGCAAAAAAAAAACACACACACACACACAACCAACACTAATAGAAAAGCAATAAAAACAAAAACAAATCTAAAAAACCATAAGAAAAAAGACAACCTAAAAGTTGGAAAGCATGAAAATAAGAATAGAAAAAAGAAAAACCCATAGAAAAGAACAACAAAAACACCAACCAAAATAGGTACAAATGATTACATAAAACAAAAAATTAAAAGAACTAAGAACTACAAAAGATCAGAAATTGAAACCATATAAATCAATCATAAAATTAGATAGATTTCTCTTAAATTTCCATTTCCTATTTTTATTCAAAATCAACTAATGAATATTAGGAATAATGGAGTCTATAGAAGTAAATTTATCTTTGAATACTCCAGAATTCTTTTCAGTTCATATAAAATAGGCTGTAATTTGTAAAGCAAGAAGATTAAATCTCCTCTGAATTTTACATGATATATTTTCAAAATGATATAAATCTAGAAAAATATTAGAAATGTTAATAAAAAATATCCACAAGGAACATGTTTATTGAGAAGATAGTGAGAAAATTGGTATTAAAAAAAAGAGATAGACTATAATTTTCAATGTTATTAGAACAAAAAAAAATATAATAATTAATATTCATCCCTCTTAAGTTGAGAATAGCGCAAGTTCTTAGACCTTTATTAATAATTTTTCAATTAATAAAAATAAATTTTATGGCATAACCTTCAAACCAAATAAGTTCACATCAATCCACAAAGGGAAAAGATTCATATAAGTAGAAAAACACAAACTTGTGACAATAAATGTTAGCATTATTTTGGTGACAAGAATAACTATGAGAAATTGTAATATTACCAATAACATTAGTGAAATCAGCAAGAGCATTTATAAACAAGATTAAAGTTCCAAAAGTTATTACAAAAATATCACAAATTTTCGCCAAATATTAAACAAACTAGAAAAATTGTCACCAAAATTTTCTTTTAAAGAAGAATCGTTAAACCAGGGGTCATAAAAGAAGAAAAGACGACTGTTAGGAACAACTTTAAAATTTAAAGCAATTCTAATTTTTTTTAGCCACACTAACTAAATCTTTCCAAAAAAATAGAAACTCTAGAATGAGAAATCTTCTAAATAGAACAATAAGTATTAGAACATCTTTCATACAAAAGAGAATGAAAATTATAAAATTTTCAAATGATTTTAAATTTACACATAGAATTAATGGTATTCAAAGATGGAGTCCAAGACCGCCATAATGTTTTGACATATTAAACTTATCCCAAGTAATTATGTGAAGCTAGCTTTCTACCATCTTCATTACTTTGAAGAAAAGTAGAAATCAGAGGAGAAACTTTTTTCTCAAACTTTTTGATAAAACCATAGAACGAAATCAATAATAAAGATAACTCTAAATAGTGAATTCAACAAATTGAATCTTACCAGCAAAAGATAAAAGTTTATGCTTTCACCCTATCAACAAACTATGAATTTTATCAAAAAGTAAATGACAATCATCAATGACAAGTTTAGAAGGTTTGATAGTAATGCCCAAACAGCTTCAAGAAAGAGGTTTTATAGCAAAATTACGTAACAACAAAAAATATTATGTTGAATAGAAACATCCACTAATTTAGACAAACTAATATTTGATTTGGACGCATTAACATGAAGATTGATTGTTTTACTAAAGATATCAAATATATTGGTAATTATCTTAATAGAAAGAACATTAGTTTTACTAAAAATCAAGATATGATAAGTATAAATTAAACGACCAACCTTAATAATGTTCATATTTCGAATTATAAGTAAAGATATCATAGAGTATCAATCAACTTGACCTAATATTATCGCTGGACCATCAGAGGAAGGGAGGGGGACGCTCTTATCGCTGGACCATCAGAGGAAGGGAGGGGGACGCACGAGAGGGAGAGGGAGAGAGAGAGAGAGCTGCCGGAAGCGAGAGAATGGGTGAGACGGCTTTAGCGCACTCCGCTTTGGTGACTTACACATCGATGATCGCGCTTCTCGCCCTCTGTCCACCATTCGTCATTTTGTTGTGAGTTTTTCGCTGTTACTCTAAGATCGCTTGGAATATCAAGAACTCTCTCTCTCTCTTTTTGAGATCATTTTGGACATTTTGATTTTTTTTGTTTAGTGAAATGATGAACTGTGTTGTTTTTTCAATTTCTCATATTTCGGGAAGAAATGTCAGCTCGGAGGGAGGATGGGATGGTTTTTTTGAGGATGTGGTTTGATTTATCAGTAGCTGTGAAACAGACGGATCTATGTGTTACAAGGAATTTTTGTTTCTGATGGAACTTTGCGATTGCTAATACTGTTGATTTGGTTTGTAGATCAGATGAACGACTGAGATTATGGAGCTGTTTTATATTCTTGCTTTGTTATTTTGTTAGTTGCGCACATTTTGTAATGATTTTTTTATGAATTATTAGTTTTTTATTTCTTCTGAATTGTTGATTGGTTTTTAAATTAGTTAAGAGCATGTAGAGATTGAAGCGTGTTCTCAGTGGGCAATATCTCGATTGTTTATTGGGTTTTACCGTTTTAGAATTTTTTTTTTTTAATGGTTGGCTGTCTCATATGTTGTAAACTTATAGAAGAACTGTACACATTTTGTAGGAAATAACTAAAGGACATGTGTTTGTTTTTGATTGATCTTCCCTTTCTCTTAAACCCTTTTTCTTAAACCCTTTTATGCTGAAATTACATTTACTTCTTAACTATCTAGTTGTTTATTGATTTTTATAGAAAAAAAGTATCTGTCTATTTTCACAGATTTGAATTGTTGAATATTAAGGAACAAATGTGTTTCAACCGTATGATTGAATTACTTTAGATCATGGCTCAATAATGTTTGTCCTTGTGTTGTGCACATCGTTAATAGTCCTGCATTTTTTTATCTAAATTATTCCTTGGCAATTCTTGTATATAGTCCTGCATTTTTTTATCTAAATTATT